CTGCAACGGCAAATACTGCGCTTAGTGAGGGCGTCCGCAGCGCTTCGGGTGCTGCGCCCGCCTTGCGAGGGAAAGGCCTGGCCGGCCTCGCCCTCGCGCCCGGGAGCAGCGCGCCCGCCAGTCTTTGCTGCCAGTCCTATTCTAGCTTAATTGTTCATGGCAATCATAGTCTTCGCAAACTGAACTGATTGCGCAAAAAACAGTCACATCAACAACCGTTCTATAACCATAAGAAAAACAATAACATAACATATATCACCTCATGACTGCTAACGTATAAAACAGGAACAAGAATGCATAATTTCACAATGCAAGACAGACACCTAGCGCCTTGATATTACTCATTATCAGAACTATATAGATTCTTATGACAATGCATTCGCGTCGATTGCATGACTTGCACTGAGGAATTTCCCATTCTCCTTCATATGTTCATCAGATGAGATGTCATAATTATTGTTATTTCTTCATATTATCTGGTGACTATTGACGGTATTAATCTTCATTATCATTATCCTTATCTCTCCTACATTTATCACTACCGCCCATTCCCGACCCCCTAAAACCCCACCACCTCGGCACCCGAAGGACCCCAAAGAGCTCACCTGCAGGGCTAAGAACCGCTTCGCCTGGTCGTAGGCCCCTTGCTGAGCGTGCGCGGTCCAGCAGGCGCACGACCATCTCCCCTCGTCGCTCCACCGCCTCGAGAGCCGCTGCCGTCGACGCATCGTGGTCGTTCTCGACGGTTTCGATTTGGCGGAAGATCTCTGTGCTGATACCGCTCACCTGCCGAAGGGAGAGAGGAAGGGGAGGGTTAGGGCGATGTTCGTTTGTTTGTCTGTTGCAGGGGAAAGGGCTGATGGGGATCGATCAGGAAATTGGGAGGAAGATAGCTGCAATGGGACTGATGAATATTTGAATGAAATGGTGATAATGGCACCAAAAAGGTCAATTATTGTTATCGTTTCATCGTTGTTGTAATCATGATTGCCATCATTATTGCAATCATTAGTAGCAGTACAGGTCGACATTAAAAATCCGGCCATCGACAATCCGATTCCTTCAGATTTCCGGCATTGATTTCGGAGAGCATTTTCCCGTGTTAGTGCGCCACTGTTTTCTAGAATCGTCCCTTATGATTTGACAGCGCTGCGCTCCAGAATCAGCTGTTGGACTTGCTTGCCGCGCTAAAGGCCTTCCAGCTCATTCCTACTCATAATCTTATGCTGTATAGCCCCATGGTGGATTCAGCAAAGGAAAGAGGTCGTGCGAAACGTAAACATCGTGCGTTGGTGGTCGTGGAGAAAGTGGAAATACTAAAATGATAATAATAATGATAATAATAGCGGCTTGTCTGTGCGTACATTTGTGAAACATGACTTTTTGAAACATGACATATGCTTTTCATTCAATGGTTAATTTCTTTCTAAATGACTGTGCATGTAGTCACTTTCTATTCAATGTATACAGCATATATAATAATAAAAAAATATATAATCTTTGAAATCCGGCACTGCGCAACTCCGGAGGTTGCCGGATTTATGAATGCCACCATGTAGTAATAATGTTCTCATTATTATTACCATAACGCCTACTAAACTACTACTACTATCTTAGTCATCTTTATTGTTATTGTTGCTACTATCATTATTATTATCACTGACATTACTAAAATTATTACCCTCATTTTCATCAACATTGTTGACACTATTGCTAGCGTTATCATACTTTTTATTATCATACTCTTATCATTATTATTATCATCATTAACTATCAATCTTATTATCAATATCCTTATTGTTATTATCATTATTACGTTATCATAATTATGTCATCAATATCATATCATAATATGTCATCAAAATCATTATCATTATCATTTTATCATTATTATTGTTACCATACTTTTCATTTCATTATTATCATTACCATTGTTACCATCACTTTCACTCCTTATTAGCGTTTTTGTTATCACATGATCATCATTATCATTATCATCATTATCATCATTATCGAGTGGAAATCAGAAACCGAAAGAGACCAAGGCAGAAACCTCCTAATGAGCAAAGCCAAATAAGGATCACAGCAGCAGGGAGAGAAATAGGCTGGATTTTACCCACGAATTCCTCGACTATCCATTGACATCTTAACCAAATTGGGAAGGAAAAGAAACTTAACTACCGTCTTTAACATGAAGTTGCAGAATATGATGATAAAGTAGATCCAGAAGACCATGGGTGTGTATTGTGTATAAAGACTAATAATTAAATAATAGTAGTAGTGGTGGTGGTAATAGTGGTAGTGATCGTGGTAGTAATGATAATGATAATAATCATATTTAATACTATTATTATGAATATCATCATTATTACTATCACCTTGGTGATGATGACAATGAAGATAGTAATAATAAACTTACAATAATGATAATACTGATTAAAACAATATCAATAATAACTATGACAAAAATGATAATACAATTTAGTAGAAAACAGTAAAG